GCTTTGGCGCTCTCTAGACACTGTACAGCCTGGGGGAGACAGCATTCCTCGATGCAGTAGTAGAAGCTTGTCGAGATGAGAGCGGAAGGCGGTATGCCTAGGACGTTAACAATACTGGGGGTGGCGTATATGACGGCCGCAGAGCGGGTGAAACGGTTCAAGAACAATGCTGCGCGCGGCTCATGAGCAGCAAACGGCGATGAGCTGCTCGGGGGCGGCGAGGGCTTGAACTTCGTAGACATGCAGCTCAACATGTGGTAGCGAGGGTCGCGAGATGATGATGCAAACAATCGCCGCACAATAGGAGCATCAGCAGCGCGCACTGCATTAGACGATTAGCATGTTCTCAGCCATAGACAAAGGTATAGAAAAGGCTCACTCTGGCTTCGCTTCCCCCGGTGGTAGACGCTGGTGCTGGCAATCAGGACATCGCACACTATGGTAAAGACACACTCGCATGCAACCCAGTGGCCATGCTTGTGCCTGACTCGAAAATAGTTCAACCCCGCAGCCTTATCATGTCTAACAGAGCGCGAGTAGATCGTACGCGCCTGCGACAGCTCATCAGGGTGGAAGAACTCCCATATTGGCCTGTTGAGCACCTCTGGAGGCAGGTAGCCAAGGATATCTTCTATCGCACTAGAGACGTAGCGGGTGCGGGCATCAGGAGAGAGATCTGTCCCCTTTCGTTAGAACCATATCATGAACAGCAGAGAGGGAGGGGGCTGGGGATGTTGGTTCAAGAGCTGCAAAGGTACAATAAAAAAGGGGGGGAGGCAAAGGACTTAAGGAAATGATTCAACTTGCCATGGATAGTGATGAAGGTAAGTTCCATTTTTCGTCTCTTGCCGCGCGCTTCTCCCCTTCTTCGACCATGCCCCAGGAACAGAGGGAATATGGGGACGCCCGTTAAATAGACCTGAGATAAGACCGTCCGTCACGGAGTTGACAAGAGTTATATCACAGTCTTCCTCGTTAACGTCTCACAAACAACGTCACACAACGCATTGCCTCTCCTCAAGTGTGGCAGAGGAGAAGACGGCGGGCGGGAGCGTATTGGCCCGATCTGCACATCAAACGACTCTCGATACGGGCTTGACGCACTCTCGACTCAACTCGACGCTGGCCAGATCTGATCGTCGCCGCACCCGCTGGGGGATCCTACCTTTTTTCTTTGGTAACGAATGCGGAGAGAAGCACCAAAACTTGGACTGATTCGATTCTCAAGCTAGACCAGCGCGAAGGTCGGGCATGATGTTCTTTAAGCAAGCCGCAAACCAGCTCTCCCCGGATTTGACAACTCCTATTTACTCCTGAGAAGTCGGAAAATAAGAGCTCGCCACTGTTCGTATCGCAGGAGACTCATCGCATTGCCCTGGTCGTCATGATAGTTCTCAGTGCAACGCGATCGTCTGTTTGCTAGTGGTTGTTGTCCAGAAGATCCGGGCCAGCTTCATCTCACCCGCAGACGGCGGGCAGGGCAGAAAGAAAAGAAAAGAAAATGGGCAAAGGAACCTTGCCAACTGTGCCGCCTGCAACCCCCAGCCCTCTCTCTGCCTGGCTGGTCAAGACCTTCTGGGTTCATTAAAAAAAAATAATAGTCAAGCTCCTGTCCGCCGCCACCAGAAGTGACGGATGGACGTAAAACAAAAATATGGAGCAGTAAGGCGGCATTCCTGGGCTGAGAGGCTTTTGGACTCATTTCCTGTCTGGGAATTAGTGGCTGGTCGACCCCCGGCTCGGAAGTGGATGATTATTGACACTAGTAACTTACAACCACATATATCGTCCTGTCAAGGCCGACAAATATTTCATCACGCGGCGGGACGAACGAACGCCTGGTTGGCGAAGGAAGGGAGAGCGAACCATGGCTGACGTCTGCTGTTGTGTGTGGTTCGTATGTTCGTCTGTTGTTCGAATTATGGCTCGCTCTATCGTCCAGCATCGGGGGACTGAGTAAGGATCCATGTTTCAAAAAAGGGGCCCTGTTGTCCGCAACAACCCCATGCTCGCTGCAAAGGGCCACCAGCTTCTTGTCACGATCGTTTCCTTGGTGTTTGGAGTCTCGTAAAATGCTGTTGTTCTTGCAAAACGGAGCTGGAGCAGGAAGAAAATGGTGGAAAAAAGGTCTAGTAATATAAATATATTCCTAAAAATTGCTTGCCTTGTGATACCCTTATCAATGCCGAAATCAACCAATTATAGCCATACAAAACAAAATCTAAAACGATAGCAGGCGCCCAAATAACACCAGACTAGATACCAATTTCTCTCAATACTACTCCGGGTAAAGATGGCAACACGTAATACATGTCAAAAAGTCAGTCAAAGCCCGAACAAATTATCATAAACTCATTCTTTAGGGTTGTTTGGTAGATGGAAGTAAAATTGCAATAGAGATGGCAGACTATTGCCCACACCCAAAAAATAAATATTTAGGGACCGAGGTACCCACGTTTTAACCAGTTGCTGTTGGCCTGATGTGTGGCGTCAGCGTGGGAGTCGAGGTGCCGGCGGTCGGAGAAGTGCTGATGTCATTGCAGCCCCATAGAATGCCAGGAGTTTTGCAGGTAGATGTAGTGCTGGAGGTTGCAGAAGTTGATGCAGAAGTTGTAATCACATCATTACAACCCCATAAGATTCCAGGTGTCTTGCAGCTTGACGTAGTTCTTGCAGCTGCGGAAGATGATGTAGTTGTGCTGGTAACATCGTTACACCCCCATATAACACCCGGTGTTTTGCAAGTCGTGGTAGTCGATGAGGAGGAGGATGAAGATGAGGGGGGTTGGCTTGTCGACGTTGTGGTCGATGTTGTCGTTGGGTCGTTACACCCGAACCACCCTGGCGTTTCACAAGTAGTAGTGGTAGCAGAGGTTGACTTTGGAGTAGTTGTGAGAGGGTTGGAAGTAGTTCCCGGGGTTGTCGTTGTACTTGTCTCTGTGGTGCTTTTATCTTTGCACCAAAACCATCCCGGCGTCTTACACGTAGACGTGCTACTAGTCGAGGTCGAGGACGTCGAAGTGGAGGGGTGGTTAGTCTGACTAGTGGTATCATCAAGGCATCCCCACCAGCCAGGAGTCTTGCAGGTTTCGGTCCTCGTGGCGGTTGGGGTAGTGCTTGTCGTCTTTGTCGTGGTGTGTTCGCTGCCATTGCTCCGGAAGAACTTCCAGTTAGGACAGTCGACACATGCTTTATCCGGCTGGCATGACGGGACAGTCTTGTACTTTTTAAGTACATCATTGATCACATTGACAATTCTATGTGTACCGATAGCAACCCGCCAGCCAAAATCTTGGACTGTATCGTATACGCATCTCTTGCCGGTGAAACATACAGACTCCATTGCATAACCGCCTAGCGTGCAGATTGACGTTGCGCCGTTGCAGCTACCCATGTAGACGGGATCGGCAGTGTGACCAAAGTGAAAAGCACCCGAGTAGTCAGCATCTGGTGTATATGGATCACCTCCTGGAGGTACAGGAATGCCCAAGCGTGAAATTGGGAGTGCTTCAGGGACGGCCTCGAAAGTCACAGCAGGAAGTCCGTATGTTCTTCCGAGCATACTGGAGACTGCACCGCCAAGTGAATGGCCCGTTATCCAAACATTCGACATTGGATAAAGCTCAGTCACATTTGCAAAGAGGTCTAGAGCCGCCCTGTAGTACCGATTTTCGGACCTAAGTGACGAGGCTACGCAGGTGATGTTACACGTATAAGTTGTCGTATAACAGTCACAAACCTGTCGCCAAAAGTACTGTCCACCTTGCCCGCAGCAGCAGCTGAAAAAGAGATTGTCGTTAACCTTGTCATTGGTTGTAGTCTCTTCACCATCGAAGAGAGCGGCAGATGTCCCTTTCAGGGCGATGATGATGGTCGTGTTACCCTTATCGGCGTAAATATGGCCCCGGAGGCCATCGTTTTCCCACCCAAACCTATTAGAGTGTTTCCAAGGGGTATGTTCCAGGCTTAGCCATTGTGAAGTTCCAGGTTTTTGAATATATGCGTTGGCAGTCATCTTTGCCAGGCTAAGAATGGTCTGCCTATCAGTTATATCGGGGCCGGAAACATCGTCTATCGACCATTCCGGAGGAGGTATAAAGCTTGCAAGGCCTGGGTTTCGAGCCGCCTGAAGCCTACCTTCCACAACTTCTGGTCGTCGATCGGTAAGTCGCTGAATCTTCACCGGCTGTCCCGAGGCTTCGAAGGTCTTTGGCAGCTCGACCTTCTGGCCATCCTCTGACTCCATCCATAGATCTGCATCAGGCTCGACATCGAGGCGTTTATGTAACATAGGGTTCTCATAGGTTCCGTGATGAAATACATGCCGAAGTGACTATCCCGAGTGTCAGTGCTTTTCATCATCACCCCCCGGGGATCAAGGGAGTCACCTACAAACTGATGAGTAGTTCGGAGAGACTTGGGCTCTTCTCCAGCCTCCTCTGATGGCACAAGAGCTATCTGATCTGCTCCATACCAATCTTGAGGAGAAGCCGATACGTACGATGACGAAACGGCGAGTAGGGATAGTAGGATGTTGGTCGGCAACATCATGGTCGATAGCAGGTTCAACTAGACCTCTTTATCACGAGTCTAACATCATGCAGCTAGAACGGTACGCGACTATAGGTATCTGCTACCCATAATACTGACAAATATATATGGAGTCTAAGAATATAACACACGCCTTCTATGAAGACCTGGACGTTGATGGATGGACAGTCGTTGACGCTGGATGGAAGACTGAGCCTGGAGTGACGCCAGAAGCCCCGAGAAAAGGCCCCCGGATTCTGACTAAGCGGCCCACATGACGTCACGGATTATCTTATCTCCGACGATCCGCGCGGCTAGGATGAACCTTGTTCGGATGGTTGATATATCGAGCTGCAAGGTAGGGACGGGAATAATAGCTCGACGTCTGCCTGGCTCGAAGGGACGAAAAAGAAAAGGGGGACGACGGGCTGGCACTGACATCGATTCTAATGTGGACGGCGAAGGGGAAACGCCGGAGAGTGTTGTACAGCGTCAAGAGAGATCCCGTGAAGGCCCTACTTGACGCCCAAGTGTAACACTCAACAAGAACGGGAGCATCCGCGTGAAGGGACAACAGGACAGGGGGAGCTAAGTCACATATCATCTGAATAACCCATGGTTTGATGCCTGCTTTTTGGAGGCGAGGGAGCAGAGATGTCAGAAAAGAAAGATCACGCTTCCTCGTCGCAGATGCAGAAGCGTGGGGGTTCCAACTCTCTCAGCCGGCTTGAGAACAGCAGTCCTTTCTCACGAATAGATTCGACAGCTGAGGGCATGGGTGAAGCCATGCAGGTGGTGGCGGAGGACCCGTTGTCCTCACCTGGACACGGACTGGTGGAAGAGCCAGACGATGTTTTTAATAAGAAAGCTCCTGAGGTGTCTCAGGGGGAGGGCGAGGGTGCAGAACCAGCTGCCGGACAACCACCTGCTGAGCTTCCCGAGCAATTCGCAGAGCTCCCCATAGAGCTAGTTAGCCTGACGGATAGGTAAGTGCACGCAGGTTATTATCTTCTTTTTTGAATGCCGGTACTAATACTTTGCGTTTTAATCGTAGATTCATCGCTTCCCTCAGCGCGAAAACATTCAGTACACCTCCTTCAATAGATACGCTCTCGGGTTTATTCCAGGAATTCTACGTCCGAGCTGGATCTCATATCTCAACGCATGTTTCTACCCTAGCGTCCCGGCTGCACCGTAACAGCTCTGCGTCCTCTCTTCAGTCACAGGCGTCAAGATCTTCAAGGCGCCCTACGAGTTCCCATGGCACGCAAAAGGATACGCCTGAGCAACAAATGCTCACAGCTGAGGAAGTGGCAGAGAAACGCAAGGCCCGGAAGTTACTCCAGTTTAAACAGCATGCCCTTGAAGAGGCTGTTGAGCGGAGAGCATGCGAAACTATCTATGATAAGATCTGGCGGCACCGGAGCACGATCGACGATGTTCGAGATGAAAAGCTACGCTCGAAGACGGCTGCCTTGTTGGTAATGGGCATCGAACTGAAGGACCTTGGAGTAGACATATCCAAACAGGGAGCTGAAGAAACTGTTGATCCGAAGGAATGCGTTGCAGCGGCTCGTCAGTGTTTGATACGGATGAACGACGAGAGATACCCTCTTGGAAAGCTCCAACAGCTCGTAGCCGCTCACAAGGCAATCGTAGATGCGTTGACAAACATCCTCCCATCCTCATCATCTGCAGATGAGATTCTGCCTACCCTGATCTATACCCTTATCCTCTCGCCGCCAGAAGGAGTTAATATCATCAGCAATCTCAACTTCATCCAACGATTCCGGTCATCAAGCAAGATTGACGGTGAAACCGCATACTGTCTCACAAACCTGGAGGCAGCCATCGACTTCCTTGAGAACGTCGATTTGACCAATCTTCGTATGGAAGAAGGCAGGGCACCTATTGACCAGCCCGACCTTAACCTGCTACACCCTGCTCCCATGGATTCCAACTCAGATGAGGCTCTTGAGAAGAGCCCGTCCACGGTTTCAGGCGCCACTAGCACCGCGCCGTCCGCACGACCGACCCTACCCACCAACCCTTCTGCTCAGCAACGACTATCCGACCTCTTCCAGCCTCCAGCAAAGGCTCTCGGAGCAGCAAATGATATAGTACGAAATACTGCCGACCAGGGGCTAAAGAGCATAAGCAGCACCCTTGATAACAGCTTTGCGTTCCTGTTCGGGAGGCTGAAGGAAGTCCAGATATCCCAGGGCGATAACGCACGACCTGGTACGCCCATTGTGCCCAAGACACTCGACGATGCACGGAAACTGGTACAAGTGAAGTCCGGGACTGTTCCTCCCGACGAGGCCGTGAGTGAAGACGGGTCGAACATAGGTGATCGTACACCTACTCCGACACCATCCATTTCTTCCAGACAGCCACTTGACGACAGGCTGGCTGAGCTGGTCGGTGGGCGAAGACGACCCGGAACCACTAAACGAGACTCAAGCACCAATAGGTCTGATACGAATGCATCAGATGACACTGCTGCATCGTCTACCGCCACACCACCTACTATCTCGTCTAGTACCGGTAGCACGAACCAAGGGTTCGGTTCAGTTAGGGGGTTTGGAACCTCGCTGAACCCCCTCAGCCATTTCCCGAGTATGATACGTGGTTTGGCTCGGGCCCCTGATCCTGCAGCAGCGTCATCTAGCACCAGAGCCAAATCGCCAGGTCCTTCGCCCAGGACCAAAGGAGCCCCTGGAATCCAGAAATTCTTGGATATGGGAGATGCCTCGGAGTTGAAGGTAGGAGACATTCCCGAACTTCTAGAAGATTACAAACGACTTGCAGCGATGTTGAAAGCGCAACAGAATAATTAATCTATTACTTTACTATTTCATCTATTTCCCATAGCCTGGTTGGATTGGATACTTGTGGAGTTGATGTGTTTCGGAAACAAGAACTATGTCTTCTTGATTTTTGTATCTTTATCATGGGATCGGTAGGGTGGTTGGTATGTAGGGAGAATAAATTCCATATAACTTGCAAAAGAGATCGGTTCATTAGTATCGTCATTATGGTCGTAACTATCGTGTCCAAATTTGTATCAGAGGGGATGTGTCTGGCGACGTATTATTTCGGATTATATTTATCCTTCCAGATCCTGTAAATCAGTCAGTATCTCCTCTAGGTAGAACCAGAGCTGGAGGATGTCATACCAAGAGTTCCCCAGCGTCTTGTTCCCATTCTGTTCGGCCAGCCTGTAATACTTGGCTGCAGTAAACTATGTTCCCAGCATTAGTATCAACGTCTATCAAAACAGTACAGTACAACTGCGGCCTACCTTGTCTTTCTTCCCGCCAAACCCTTCGAGATAACACCATCCAGCCTCGTTCATGGCATCTGTATCTCCGAGGTTGGCAGCTGTTTCATAGTACTGCCTAGCAGCAGCGGGATCCTTGGCCACGCCCCATCCGTTGCGGTAGCAGTTTGCCAATTCATAGATAGCAAGCACCAGTTCACCCTTTGCCGCACCGCCTTTCACCATGCCGGCGCGAAGGGCTTCTTCTTCAATAGAGGCTGAATTTGATGCTGCGGCGCTAAGATATTGGACTGCCATTTCGGTGTTGGGTTGACAACCCCATCCGTGTCTAATTATGGTCAGCTGAAGTCTATATATCTAAGGCAGAAGCGGGAAGAACTGACCGTAAAGCCAGGCCGAAGAGAACTTGACTCAAGGCGTTATTCTGTCCTTGGGGATCCGCCAGCTTTCCAAAGATGTGCGTTGACTTTTCTAGATCTGAAGGGGGTTAGCAGTGCAATAGAATAGGCGGACAGTAAAAGAGATGATGTTGCTTACCCCCAGCTTCATGCAGCCGTATAGCTTCCTGTATAGTTTCCTACAGGCCGTCAGCTTTGCCCTCTCCCAGCAAAGAAGTAAGAATGAAACGTACATCTCCCTCTGGATCGTTCACTTTGCCAACACTCGAGCTTCGCGATCTGTTGCCCTGCTGCACTCCCAGCGAAGGGGCAGAGGAATGCGACCCGCCCTGCACCAGGATCGTCGCCCGCTTCTCCCACTGGGCCTCTCTCTCCTCCTCGTCCACGGTATCCCCCACCTCAGGCAAGTTATCCGGTATATTGACGGACGAGGAGCTGCCGGACCTTGACCGACGGCCGATATGCAGTCGTGGAAAGCGGCTTTCCCGCGGCGAGTGAGAGTCCTGGCTGCTGCGCCCGCTGTCGATGGACCGGCGGAAGAAGCCAAAGGACTTGCGCGGGGATGTCCCGGGGCTTTCTACCGTCTGGAAGGGGGGTGCATCGATTGTCTCTTCAGTGTAGGTGTCTGAGCGGATGATGCGAAACTCGGGCGCTTCGGAGGTCTGAGTCTGAGGGTGGTTCATGTCGGCGGCGTCCTTGTCAGACTTCTTGTGAAGCCGTATCAGCGGCATGTTTTCCCAATGTAGGTTGACGGAGTATCCGCGATGACGTCTGTACTGCTGGTTAACTATAAGGGGAGGTTATCTGGGGAATCATGGGGAGTTTATAGAGCAAAGAGAAAGACACAACAAGAGCTCTAGGCGCTTCTTCATGGTGATATGGTGTATTTATATATGCTCCGTGAAGGAAGGGTGGTTTTAGAATGCCCAGGGCGCGTAAGCCCTCCCCCCTAAGCCGCCGCAGCCCAAGCAACATCGCAGGGGAAACATGCCAGGGCCAATTAAAATCAAACATTCTACGGTGGGGACGAGGCGCAGGGACATTAGCAGCCTTCATATATCCTCCCCCTAAACCAGGCTCTATCTATCAAGCATCGGCATAGCTATGAATCTCCAACGGGACAGTGGAAAAGATTGGGCCTCTGGCTGACGGCTGGGAGTGCTATTCACTGCACGTCTAGTTCGGTTGTCGATGTGATAGTGGCTTGAAGCTGGCTGCGGGCGGTTATCAAATCGTAAATAGTACTCCGTAGCAGCCCCGGTTTGCTGTTGGCCCAGCGATTGAGTTCGCGGTTGATCTTCGTTTTTCCGACCCAGCTTCGACGTCAACCTGACTCCGTCCCCGGTTTGCTTGTCTCGACTGCAGCTGTCGATACCCTGGCTGTCAAAATATGCCACTGTCGGTATATATTGACCTGATGAGATGTTATATCGTATCGTATCCCTGTAACTACCAAATACCAACGTCAGCCATGTCGTCTCCAGGAGGTTCTACCAAGGGCAGCAGAATATACCACCTTCATACCCATCTCTGCCTTTTAGAGTAGATTAAGAAGATCTACCATGTCCAATCTTGTATAGCATGGTGTCACTCTATACCTTGCCCTGCCAATCTTCCAGCCGTGACTCCATGATGATGCCGTATCTCATGTCACCGAAGACTCAAGAGTAATGCCCTGCCTGATAATGAATATCAGCAACTGCATAGACTGAGTTCTCTCTCTCTCTCTCTCTCTCTCCTGTCTTTTACTGTCCATGACTAAGACTGTCCTGTCTTTCACTGTCGTCGACGATGAGCAGAGAAGAGAGTGAAGCCTGACTCGTCCCCTTTAGGCAGGTGGGCTGTCTATAAATTCTTCTTCTTCTTCTTCTTCTTCTTCTCTTCTTCTTCTTCTTTTGTTTTCTTTCTTCATCATCACCATCTTCTCTTCTTGTTGTCAACTTCAACTTCATCTTCAACTTCAAGTGATATCAACAACTCTCTAGGGCTTGACAGACCACGTGCTTCTCCCTTCTCTGGCTGCTATAAAAGCTGCTTCTCACTGCCCCAACTCTTCTTGAAAGCTCCTTGCACTCTCTGTCCTCTGGGAGAGTGCCCTCACGTTTGCTTGGGCTGGTCAGTCTTGTCTCTCACAGATGCTGCTCTCATCAGGATAGCTTCAGGATACCACTATGATATCATCTACTAACACTGTCCGTAGCTGTGCTGCTGTCTCTCTGGCTACTGGAGGCTCACTGTCCAGTCAACCAGCTTTTTACCACAGAGAACAGCCTCAAGGCCATCATATCCGGGTAATCCTTCAGCTTGCCTGCTACTCTTATCTTCCTCAAGCTGGTAAGTATCCTCTTCTATAGTCTAGGAGCTTGTACTAACGCGTATGCAGCCGGTCATATACTCGGCAAAGGATATCAGCTCTCAACAAGGATAGAAGCCGTTCTACGCGTAAAAGGTAAGAGAGACGCGTCTTTGAAGTCGATATCTCCCTAGCTAACACCAACTGCAGGAAACAGTGAACTTCTACTGAACAACCTCTGCAAAGATGCGTTCAAGCAAGAAAAGCTCTCCTTCAGACAGAGCCAGACGCGAGGTCGAGTCTGAAGCCTTCCGTGCTCGTCTGCAGTCAGTCCAGGCTCTGGAAGGTGCATACCCAGAGTTTGAAGAGATTGTTCACCATAACCTCGAGCACAAGTACGATGTGGTCGTCGAGCTCCTCCCCCAAGCACCGGCGTGTGGAAAGTCCGTCGATCTAGTCAAGCGCAAAAAGGACGGCTACGTCTGTGTTCGCAAGTGTTTCTATGTCTGGGGGAAGGCGAAGCCCTGGCGATGGCTCAGGGAGGTCAAAGTCGTGCGTGTCATGGATCATCCTAACGTCGAAAAGTACCTCGAAGCATCCATCAGCCCGCACAAGGGCGAACTCTTCCTCGAGTACTGTGACCTTGGCAACCTGGCCTACTTCAAACAGTGGATGGCCTCTGCTGGAAAACCGATCCCCGAGGCGTTCCTCTGGCATGTCTTTCGTCAACTCATCCGTGCTCTCGCCTACATGCACACTGGACTCCGCAACGATAGGGAGATCGTCAACGACAACGTTCCAGACAAGAGAAACTGGAACCCAATCCTGCATCGTGACATCAAACTGGAAAACGTCTTCATCAAATCATTGGACATTGCTGGAGAATACCCCCTCATCAGACTAGGTGACTTTGGACTCAGTGTCTCCAAGAAAGACCTGAAGCTCCCGTTTGCTCCATACGGCTCTGAAGGTTGGATGGCCCCTGAATTCCCAAACTGCAGCCCCCGAAGTGACGTCTTCTCTGCTACTACCGTCATTCAATGTCTCTCCATGGTCAACTGGACTGGTGCAAACCCCTACGGTGGTGTCGATGATGCCTACAGTGATGATCTGCAGGAATGTGTTCTTACCGGGATGACTCCCGCCAAAGCAGACCGCCCTCGCATCCGCGAGCTGGCCCGTCTTGTCTATCCCGTCCCTGTCCTGCCGTTTGAAGGCCTCCCAGATGAGGCATTCGTCCGCCGCCTCCCGCCCAGGGAGGAGCGGGCGATTACCCCATCCCAGATCTTCCGCCCGTACCGTTGACCCCGTTCGCCTTCCCCCAGAAGTCAGAGAGAGAGGCTGCTCAGCCACCTGAGCAGCGTGAGCACCAACAGAGGAAGAAGAAAAAGTAGAAAACACCAAAAAAAAATTATATGAAGATTATGTCTATATTTTATGTGAGCATTTTATTCCTGTATTTTACTTTTGCATTTTGTTTTATCTTTTTTATACCCGATTTCAAGCAGGATGAAGCATGTATTTTAGCTATATCTTAATCTATATATATTACCCAATTTGATATTGTTACCACCCAAGCTACAAGGAAGGTATAACTGAATAAGAATGTATAACTTTGTTATAATATACTGGCACAGAATTGCGACTCTTCTATTTGATTTTATACACTAGATTGACAAATGATACTGCCGACAACTAGGCCTAAGCGGGGAGAAAAGTAACCATCTACTGAGCCTTGGAGGCAACAATTCCTATAGCATATAGCATTAGTAGATAGTTCACAGACTACAATATAAAGAACTTACTCTCAACGTCAGCAACAGACTGCTGCAGAACTTGCTGCAACATCTTGGGGTTCTGCAACTCCTTCTGGATCTTGGCAATGACGGACTCGGCCAACTCGCGCTGCTCACGCTGCTTGACCTGGCTCTCGTAGGAAACCCAGGACTCAAGGACCTTCTTGGCCTCGGCGGCAAGCGCAGTTCGCTGCTCCAGCTCGAAAGCCTGAGCCTCCAAGCGAGCAGACTCCTATCAAAACAACATCAGTCATCAACATATAAAAAAATCCCCACCACTTCCATCAAAAAAACCCAGTAAAAACCATCAGTGCTTGATCCAATCGTACCTTAGAGACTTCGAAAAGCTGCTTGGTGACATCAACGACACCACTCAAGGGCTTGACGTTTTCGATCCTCTGCTTAACGGCATTGGTATGGTCCGCACGAGCAGAGTTCAAAATATCCTTCTGCTTCTGGATCTGAGCAGCCGCCCACTCCTTGTATCCGGGCCCACCAAGCTTGAACGCAGCGTAAAACACACTGAGCAAACAGAACGCAACGACCGACTCCTCGTTCAGGATATACAGCTCGTTGCTGATGGCGGCAATCGACAGACCCGCGGCTCCGGAGAGAATAGCCGTCTTGGAAACAAGCGAGTTGCCGGGCAATGCATCCACGATCGACTGGGCCTTGTTCTTGGGGTCCTCGGAGGGGACATTCGAGGCGTATCGCGCCGGAGTGACGCTGGTCAGGGCTGGGACAGATCGTGGAAGAACCGATGGACGGATACGGGCGGCGCCTTGGGTTGGACGGTGGATTAGTGGTTGTGCGAGGGTCAATGGCACCCGAGAGTGTGGCGGGTGCACTTACCGATGGCGCTCTTAGCCAACCGTGACGCCATTGTAGTTGTACGTTTGAGGGTGGTTGATGCGGTGATGCAGAGGTTGGAGAGCCTGTGATGGGACGAAGATGAGGTTTTGATTGCCAGTTTGAAGTTGAAGTTCGGGTGATTCAGGACGCTAGCCGGAAATGGACTAGTGTGAAAAAGCGACATAAAAAGATTAAACTGCGATAAGGCAGGAAAAAGTTGCTGAAGGGTAGATATATATATATATTTTTTTTTTTTTTTTGAATAAGGGTGTTGGGCTGGACTACCATGGCGTCAGCGGTTAATGGGGAGCTGAAAAGCTCAAAGAAGAGGAAGAAGAGCGATTCAGAGTCTGCTCGTCGGTCGATGAAGCGGAGAGCGGTCGAGGGAGGGAACGGGAAGGATAAGTTGGAGATCGAACACATACAAGAGCTCGAGGACCAGATTGCTGAATCCCGGAAATATTACAACAATATCGTCACTTTGCTCTCGAAACTTGACGATGCAAGCACGGATAAGGCTGGAAGGAAGGCTCTTGCGGTTTCTCTTTGTCGGGTCTTTTGCCGGTTGCTGGCTGGTGGGCAATTGAACCCTCCAAAGAGCGCAGCCGAGAATGAGACTATACTAGTCGCATGGTTGAAGGAGAGATATCAGGAATACAAGACAGCTTTGGTTGGGATCTTGCGGGATGGAGAGCCGTCTCAGCAGGTATATTTACACATTGCATTGCATGTTTGCTTATTTTACTAACATGCTACATATTTTGGTAGACTACCGCTCTAAGCTTGTGCATGCAATTGATCAAAGAACAAGTCGCCCATTATACCGGATCAGACATCAATGTATGGTCCAGTGGCTACTTCAACGATATCCTGGCTGCCGTGGTCCAGCCAGGAAATGACAAACTCAGGGCGCACTTCATGGACAGCTTTTTCCAAAAGTATCACGATATCACAGTCTACACCGTCCTCCGCCTTGCGTACGTTTTTTCCTACCAACTCACAACCATCAATTATATGCAACTAACACCTACAAAAACAGAACCTACCTATCCGAACAGAGAGACGCAGAAACACTCGACAGCATAGTCGACCTGCTCTCCAACATCGGCGAGCCAACCGATCTCCACGCCCGTTTCGAAACCACCTACACCGACACCTCGAAAATTAGCCCAAAGAACAAAGGCCCCTTCACTTCCGAGAATTCCTTCAAGATCCGCGTACAAACAGCCTGGCTCGCTGTACTACGTAACCAAATGACCAAATCGCAACGCAAACACCTCCTCCGCATAATGTCGCATGTCGTCGTACCCTGGTTCGCAAAACCAGAGCTCCTAATGGACTTTCTAACAGACTGCTACAACGAAGGCGGGTCAACTTCCTTGCTCTCGCTATCGGGGCTCTTCTACCTCATCCAGGAGAAGAACCTAGACTACCCACAGTTCTACACGAAGCTATACTCCCTACTAGACAGGGATGTGCTGCACTCCAAACATAGGTCTCGTTTCTTTAGGTTGATGGATACTTTCCTTGCTTCTTCGCATCTTCCCGCCACGCTTGTAGCGAGCTTTATCAAGCGGCTTTCGCGATTGGCGCTTAATGCGCCGCCTGCTGCGATCGTGGCGATTGTGCCCTGGATATATAACATGCTCAAATCCCATCCAACATGCACGTTTATGATTCATCGGGATTTGAAGAAGCATGATCCATCGCTGTATGAGGAGATAGAAAAAGAGGGTATGGATGATCCGTTTGATGCATGTGAGCCCAATCCAACGCTCACAAACGCTATTGAGAGCAGTTTATGGGAGATTGAGACTTTGCAATCTCATTACCACCCGAATACCGCGGCTTTGGCCAGGATTATATCCGAGCAATTCACTAAGCAGCATTATAACGTTGAGGACTTTCTAGATCTTTCTTATCAGGCTCTGCTAGGTACGGAGTTGGGGAAGGAGGAAAAGGCATTTAAAAAGGCTCCTGTGGTGGAGTTTCAGATCCCGAAGAGAATATTTACCGATCGCGGACTAGAAGGAAGAGAAGAGGATACGGAGCCTGGACATATGCTCCGAGAGTTGTGGGACTTTTAGTTAGAAATGATAAACAATCATTCAATGCCATTTTGATTCTATTACCGACACGTATGTGGGTCAAGACAAAAAGAGCGTGTGTGACTATTGCATGATAACATTTACAAGGCATTGTAGTGAAAAGTTGACAACATAATGCCGAAAGGCTAACAGAAATCCAGCCCTTGAAACGAATGCTCATATTGTTGTAAAAGCGAGCAAATATCCCAAGGTGCCTTGGGCCACTCACACCATTCCCTCGGCGTTGTTCATGGCAAAAGTTTCTGCTTGTGTAGCATAAAGCGCCCACTGGCTCCTTGAATTGTCCACTGCAATAATCTGCCTTAGACTGTCAGGAAGAGTAGCCATGTTCAAAAGTCCCATCTGCTGTCGGAGGCGCTCCTCGATAGTCTCTTCATTTTCTTCCATTTGGTCCTCGCGTTCCTCACGTTCCTCACATTCCTCTTCCTCGGGGTTAGGGTGGTAATGGCCTGATGGATTCAGGCCATAGACCTGCTTCTTTAACCGATCAAACATCTTGTCCTGTATATCCACGGGTGTAGACTCGATGTCACATCTAAGCCATTCCATGAGCTGATTGGCCCGCACCCGCCTTTCACTGACGATCCGATGAATACGGCACCTCATACTTGCCATCAAGTCTCGTACTTCATCCTGGTGAGAGGCGGTCGTGATGCACGCGTCAATCTCATTGATGATCTGGTAGACATCCTGGGCGGCCTCCCTGAAGATACGGTTGATTTCCGGACAGGCCAGTTCGATCTTTTGGCAGAGAGGACGGGCAAAGTCCGGTTTGTAAGTATTTGTCCAGTATTCGACCCATCTCTGCAGCCCCTTCCGAGAGCCGCTCATGCGTCTTAACTCAAGCTCGGCCAGGGTGGTACGGTATATCAGAAGTACTTCCTTGGCCTCTTTACGAGTCTCAAGGATGTCAGAAATTGAGTCCGGGGGCGCGCCAGGTTGGAACGACTGAAGCGAGACTGGGGAGTCAGAAGCGCTGAACGATGAAGTACTTGAAACATCGGGTACAGCGGTAAAATAGCCATTTTGCAGCTCCTTGTAATATGGGGAAGATTGTAAGCTGCAGTATCCCGAATCGGTACTCATCTTCAACGGGAAATGGTACAGATAAATGTAACGACTGTAGTGTCAGAAACGAGTGACCTGACGGGTATAATAAAATCTTGAAGAGATAGAAGCGAATGTACTGCTTGGTATGATAACGAGAGTTGTGTTGATTAAGAGAGAGAGAGAGTGAGTGAACAAGAAGCCTTTGTGAAGAATAAATATTATCCCACGGGTTGCTGTATGGGAGAAGCAGCAACCACTCTCGGCTTCTTGCCTCCTTCCTCCCTATGGTCAGGCTACTCTCATAGAGTAAACCGAATGAAGCTCCCATCATCAGGTAGAGCTGGGTATAAGCCTGTTTGGCACGAACAAATGGAATTAATCGGTGCAATGCTTGACATATGGCCGTCATATCTAATAGCACCTTGTTAGCATCGTATAAACCTGGATCAGATTTCATGTTACTCAATATAGTCAGATTATAGTCTCACGCAAAACCGGCTCCAGCCCAGCAGCTTTAGTCCCCTAGCTCTGCACTCGTCGCACCCTCCCACATTCTCTGCTCGCTTGATATTCTCGCCGTGTGTGTCTTTTTATGTTTCCAGCTTCGGCCTCGTCGAAGTCGCGATATTTCCGAACAAGGCAAGTCTTGGCATGGTTCAGTTGGTTTTTCATCCTCGCTCTTTTCTGCTCTTGGCGTTTCCTTATGCAATAAAATTACATAACCTAATTACATAATCCAGATATCTCGAACTTACCCCTTTTTGTTTCTTTTCTTCTCCATAAAAATACAAACATCAACGTCAGACGTTGAGATCTCAACTCCGCTGGATGGAGCATTAATACTCTGTACTGCCCAAGTTATATTGATATATGCAGAGGTCTTGAGACGAGGTCTCACTGCTAGGACGGTATAATATACATTAAAATGAGTCAAACGCGACGGATCGCCGCAACCGGTCTATAAATATATGGATTATGCGTTGGTTTCTTACACCAGGCAGTACAGGCATCCCAAGAGGGACGGCCTAGCGTGAATGCACGCAGCAGCGGCAACAAAGCCAGAATAGTGTGCGTACGGAGTACTTACTCTGTACATGGCACGTAACCTCGACTAGCCAGCGGAAAAATGACTTCAACGAGTGTCCCCATGTCATGGCTTCCCGGCGGTGGCGAACGCGGAGCCGTGTCTGAACGACGGGCTGGGTATCGAACTCGTCCGGCCTGACATGGGAAGAGGAAGCAAGCGGAGGACCAAGCATAAGTATGCACTCTTAACTCTGTCGAACGAGAACGGCCAGCGGAGCAGAGCTGGCAGGTACCAAGCAGGTACCCGGCAATATCAACCTATCTTATTCTGCATACGTACTCCGTCCCTCTCACTGCAGAAGCTAATTGCTGGTGGCAGCTCCGCTTGACTTCACCGTCAATCTCTTCTCTTTATCCGTATTCCTCTCTTTTTGTTGCGCCAACCAGCTCACATATGTACGCCGCAATGCCAACAGTAATCTGCCAACAACGTTCTGAGCTCCTATCCAGCTGACCAAACAAAGGCTGTTTGGGGAGAAGAAGGGGGGAAGGAAGAAGAAAACAAGAACGAGAAAAGGAAAAATAAAATTAAGAAGAAGCAAATATACACAAGAACCCGTCCTGGAGCTTAGCATTGGATGGCTATTAATCCACTCAAGGGAGGACAAGAACCAGGCTCGCAGGCTCACAGGCTCACAGACAGGGCAGGGAGGACAGCGTTGCAGAAGGGGCATGCGCCGGCCCACAAATAAAAACGCTGTATTGGGCTGGTTGGAGGTGCTGGACGTGGGGAAGGGCTTTTCGAGGCGCGAGGAACGCTGCTGGTTGGATATAATAGGCCTTTTTTGATGGGGACAGGGATAAGGGCCGAGAGCCACGGACATGGATAGGGACCTGGATCAGACGACTGTTTACTGTCTTCACCGTCGGCCCTGCCAGGCACTACTCCTCTCTTCTCTGATGCCCCGTACAGACTCCCACAAGGACGAACGGGTAATGAGATCAAGATGGGACCGGTTCCATCCGCCCCCCGTGCTTCTCTCGTTCTCGCGAGTAACAAAGGAGCCGTCTCTGGAGGCACAGAAGAGAAAACGGAAGAAGCAGAGAAACTGGAGGAAAAAAAAAAAAAAAAAAAAAACAAGAAGAAAAAGAAAAGAAACCCAATTGCTATAGACCGGGGGGTCAGCAGCATCTGGGCCTAAAGGGGCAAGGTTCGCTAGTCCACTTAGCTTCTTCCATCCGCCAAAAGCAAACCTCGACAGCGAGAGCAGGTGGAAGCAAAAAGGATAGAGGCAAGACGGGAATCCTTTTTCTTCTCTCTCCTTTCCACCTCCTGCTCGACTTTTTCTTCCCTCCTTCCCTCTTTTCTCTCTCATCTCGTTTTAATTAATCGGCTCACTGTCGCTGCTATGTCATTCTCTACAGCAACAGAAA